GTAATTCAATTCCAAAATTCAATTGCACCGTGACATAAATTCCATAAATCCAAAAACATGGTAATCATATACCATTTCAAAACAAAAATTAGATAGCAGCCATATTCTATAAATTGTCACATTAAATTGGTGCATCCATAAAACAATAACCAATGAATTCGGTGTACCACATATTAAAACCAATAAAACAGTTCAGTAATAAGTAGGGAACACACCTCGACAATAGGTTCAAATAGCAAATCTACTGTTTACTGGTTTCACCACGCTCTGCTACAGTTTTCGAACGGGTGAATATTGGCACACGTGGTTTAACTGATCTAGAAGAGCTGGGTCGAGCTGTCGAACGATCTGAAGAGTCTCTTGTACCTTCAAACAATAATAATTTATCAGTCCCAAATCCTATTTAATTGTTCAAAGCTAAACTTCTTAAATATATAAGCATTTTTCGGGTTTGACTGTCAATTTGGGGTATTTCGAGTCTGAATTTGGCCAAACGGATTGTGGAATCGGAATCAGGACGTCGAAAAACATAAAGTATGACTTTCCGAAAATTCAAATTCTTGGTCAAAGTCAAAGTCAACCACTTTGACCGTCGATTTGGAGGCCTTAGGGTTTGAATTTGACAAAACGGGCTGCGGAAACGGATTCGGCACGTCGAAAACTATCAGGATAGGTATACTCAGAAAAGATTAACGGTCGTTTAATGCTCGGTCAAAGCCATTTTAAGTTTTGGTCAAAAGAAGTTAACGGTCAACGGTCGGGTCGGGTCAACGATCGGGTCGGTCGGGTCGGGTCAGACCGGTCAGACCGGTTAAAAACCGGTCAAACCGGTTTCCAGCAGCGTCCACTCTCCCTGCGGCGACGCGTGTGGCGCGTGAGGAGGCCCTAAAAATCCCGGAAAAATTTATAAAAATTATTTTGAGCGATTTCGAGATACTTACAACGATCGGTTCAAATTTTTGAAAGGCGAAAAGCTCGATTTCAACTCCGCTAAATCTTTGACTGCTCCACCTCCTCACGCCCCGCCGTCGACGGCGAACAAGGTTGACATCGGCGGACTCGAAACGACACAAGGAACACGATGGTGCAGGAGGTGTCGTAAACGGAGCAAAGATCGGCGGTGAATTTAAGATTTTCCCAATAATAGAGCTAATAAAAACGTCAAGACTTTGACTGTAAATTTTCGACGTTTGGCAGCGTTTCATTTCAATTAAATTGAAGGGTTTGTTCCTCGCTCGATGATGAACACAACGGTGGTTTCAAAACGACGATCGGAATTCGGACGACGTCTGAATCTGAGTCGAAAACGGACGTAGGGGAAAGGAAATTTGGGATGGACCACCCACGCATATATCATATATAACCAAAATTCACCTAATTTTATTGGGTAAATTCAGGGTTTAGTCCCTGAATTTTCTTTAACTCTACCACAAGCTCTAAATTTTAAAATCTTTCAATTTAGTCCCCAATTTTTGCCAATTTTTACAATTAACCTCCAATTTCAATTAAATATTATTTTTGTAAAAAAAATCGGGTTGTTACACAAGGACTAGCCAAGAAACCATTTTCCGGGATCGACATGTCCGATCACCTTATCTCAGACAACTCGTAATCGTAACCTGTTCGAACATAAGAAAATGGGAAGTAAAGGGATCAAAAATTGGAATGGAACATAGAACATGGTTCCAACTCAAAAGCTGAGCTGAAAGTGCTTCACGTTGCTACAAGATTGGCACTGATTATTGCAAGTCTGCAACCGTCAGAACTACCGCACACAATTCAGAAACTCGGCCGTGAAACGGAATAAGAAGTATATATCAGACCAACATGTACCCTGAAAATAGAGGGAAAATAAACAGAAAATGGTTGATCTCTCTTTATTAAAATCATTTCCAACTACCAAAAGAGCACAGTGTACATCGTCCATCATGCATAACTCATAAAAAAAATAGTGAATTTAAGGGTGAAACAAAATCTAATGGCAGCAACATGGCACATCAGTGGTTCAAACCACAAGCTGTATTGAAGTGATTAAAGGATAGTATATATCCAGAATTTTTTGTAGTTCATTTGGTAACGTACACACATTGCAAACATAATTATTCGAACACAGATCCTCTAAAGAGAACAATTTTCTCTTTTACCACTAAGAACATTTAAAGAATTTCAAGAATGTGATATTGAATCTGAGTAATCGTTTATATTATTCATATAGGAAAGATAGACAATGAAATATAATAAGCTTCTACAGATAAGTCAGCCTTTTGGAGAGATCCAAATTTTATTATCTAACCCAAACCCATTAACATTCAAATCTTGTAACTTCAGAATTAAATTAAAGTATCAAACTTTTGAATATGCAAGCAAAAGAAACCATTTTTTAACCAGGAAAAAAAAAGTAAGCTCAGATTGAGTGGAGGCTAAACTAGAGATCAAAGGAAATCTATCGAAAACAGAAGGATGTACCTTGCCCCCGATGACAAGCCAGCAGTCTTTAGCATTGTTGTGTTGACTAACGTTTGCCAAAGTATAGACCTTTCCTTCTCCACCCATTTTCCCCCTTGATTTTTCTACTTGTTTCGGGAAGAAGAAGAAGAGCAGAGATCTGCTGAACAAACAAAACAAAACTCCAAGTTTTGACCTCCAAATCTTAGGTTTTTGGTATTTGTTTTTTTTTTATTTTGAAATTACAGTATTATATTTTTACTTTAACTTATGTAAATAATGCTTAAAGTGCTCATGAAAATTTTGAAAATATAGAATGCAATATTTATATTTTTAATGTTAATCTTAGCCAAGTTTTGTTTTAACCTTTATGTTGTTTAATTTTTTCCTGAAATTTCAAAAAATAAATGTATTTTATAAAATTGTGGAATTATTGTATCTTTTTAATTGTTTGGGTTGTTGCCACACAAACTATAATGTCTTGGGATTATGTACAGAAAATCATAAATTTCTCAATAAAATTCTTATTTACAAATGTGTGAATTGAATAAAATTCTTATTCACACGATTAAAAATCTAATAAAATATCACTTATCAGTTGATGAATAAAATGAAATTTAAATCTCTTAGATAAAAGTAAACATCAAATTTTATAATTGTAATGTTAGTAGGGATGGCAAAAAAATCTGAACCCGACGGGAAAAACCGAAAATCGAATTAAACGAGGATGGGGAAAAACCGTTTATGCTAAACGGGGACAGGGATAGGGAAAAACTCTTTATGTTAAACGGGGACGGGGACGGGTTTAGTGATCCCCACCGCGATTATCCGACCCGATACCCAACCCGATACTCGGCCCGATAAATATTAAAAATAATTATTTTATATATATATATATAATATTAATAAATTTAATTTAATTTAATTTAAATTAAAATATAATATATATATATTTAATTTAAATATATATACCCGGCCCGATACCCATTTAAATAACCGTTTGTGCTAAACGGAGATACCCGTTTCTCCGCGATTTTCCTCGATTACCCGATGGAGATCCCCGTTTAAATCCCCACGTTTTTTAAACGGAGACGGGTATGAGTTTTTTAAACGGGAACGGGGACCAATACCCGGCCCGAACCTGACCCGTTGCCATCCCTAAATATTAGTAATTAATAGAAAAATAGATGAAAATTTTAATGGACGAATAATTCTATTCTTCTTTAAATATACACAAATTAATTTATTCATTTTTCCGGTAGGAAAACCAAAAATAAAATTTAAAATATAATACATAAACTGTTATAATACTTCTACCTAATATATCTTTAGTCTGAATAAGAAAAAAGTATAAAATAAACATCAATATTAACAAATTGTTCTAAGGAAATCAAACAACTAAATGTACAAAAACATAAAAGAGGATATATTTACATTGTTTATTTTATTTGAAATATAGGACATTATTTAATAATAAAAAAATCAAGTTCAGACTCTGTACGCTTCACCCAAATTTTGTATTTTAAATTTAAAAAGTAATATAATGTGATTTCATATATTTTTATAATTAAATTTAAATTTAAATATATTTTAATTATATTCAAACCAGACTAAACCAATCACCCATATCATGAACGGGTCTAATTTAAAAGAATTAGATTAAGAAAACAATAAAATCGGAAAGAATTGTTCATTAAAAAAACAGAAGGTGACATTACCATACATTCTGAGCTAAATTCCACAAGTTGAAATCAACCTGTCCCTCTGCTTTTGATACAATCCCATCTAAGATCTCTTCTATACCATGCATACATCTAACAATTGAAACCATTTTTGCCTCACAAATAACCATTGTTCTATTTATTGAAAATTTTATGACATTACTTGCATGAATATAAACATAAAACATGACAGTAAAATAAACATATAAATCGTATAAAAAATTATGAAAACCCGTATAACTAAATTTTACATTAAATGTAAGAGGATGGGTTTGTGTATAAGTGACACACTGGCCATAACTTTGCATTATAATTTATAGGACAAATACGTAGAGCAGAAAGTAGAGCACAACTAAAATACCACCCCAAAGTCCAATGCACTTGATTGTTCGCCTCAGTTACACACAACAAAACCAAACTAGATAAGAATTGCAAGGGCCAACTAGAATGAGATGCAATAGAGTTTTGCTAGACGATTGGTTTGTTTCAAATTCAAAACAAATCAAATCAAAGATCATAATAAGATCCGGAGTGCATTTCAGATGGCACCAAAATTACGGATCTTAAACCTTCAGACAGGTCAGGACCAGAGTTTTACCTCAAACAAAATTAATCCATTTAAGATAAACACCAGGGCTTGTAATTAGTATTTATTACAACCAAAAGGAAATGGAAATGGAATGGTTTACAGGAGGCTGTAGGGATAGGGGAAAACACAGATACTGGGATTCAAACCCCAGACCCATTGAATTTCACCTTTTAAGAGTTACTGGATTCAAATTTCGATCATTCTAATGTCACCAACTAATGTGTCCAGAAACCTCATATATTGATAAAATTTCCAAAGGCTTTTGCCCATAAAAATGATTGCTACTAACATTGATCTGAAAGGATAAGGATACATGAACTAATCTAGTGGGGCAAAAAGAAATAAGACCCCTTCTATGGAGACCATGGAAAAAGAGGAAGAAAGCACCAAGAAAATGGGATGTGACCTATGTACAAATGCCTCTATATCTGTCTCCGTCCTCTCTATAGTCTAACACAGCCATATACATTATCCCCCAAAACCCAAAAAAAAAAGTAGAAACAAAAATAGAAAGTCCTTTTATCAATGAATTTCTAACCTGCAAATAGCAATGACCTATTTCCACATCGCTATGCCCTATGGATTAACCGGCTTCATCTGCACAAAACCCACAGCTCAATTAGTGTCCACTCTCCATCCAAGTTCAAGAAAATTTAGTTACCAAAGAAATAAAGAAAAGAAACTGGAAAAAAGGCACATTTACACAATTTAATTAGTTACATGGCCAAGCACCCACAGCTAGCTAGCTGTAGAAAGTAGCCATCATAAAAATGAGGCCTCCACAATAAACGGGAGGGAGAGAGAAATAAACTTATGATAATTTATCAATTATCATCATTGATATCACAACAGTAGGATAATTCTGCATATTTTAGTTTTGCCTATTATGGAAGTCGAAAATATAGTAACACTGTATCGCACCTGCCTAAATATATATATATATATATATAGATTGTTATTACCTTACAGTGCTGTTACAAGGGCATGCAAACCCAACCCTAGCAGGACCCATCGCTGTCAGAACTGCTCCATCAACTATATTACTTCATTCTAACTTAGAATTAGAAGGCCTGTGATACAAGCTGCCCTGTACTGATTGCAGATGCAGACTTTGCTGTTGTGCTTCTGGCTGCTGCTGCAATGGCAACTGTTGTGGGGGAGAATTACGTTGATCTTGTTGTAATTGCCCTTGTGGCTGGTAATGTTGTCGAGCAGGTGGTGGTGTGGGAGATTGTTGCATCTGTGGCTGTTGCGACCACTGTGCTCCAGCATTACTCCCATGAGGGGGTAAGCCACCTGATAATTGTATCTGCCCTAGCCCTTGTCTGACAAGAGGTCCCGGATCTCTACTAGGAGAAGTTGTAAGAGGAGTGCTACCTGCGGATCCCACCTCAGAGGCCACATTTAGCCTACCAGGATCATACACTGGTTCAAGTGATTTCCACTGAGAAACAACAGGTATCATGTTATTAACTAAATCAGTATCATCCTGATGCATCGCCATGGTTTTGGTTGCACCCATCTGTGAAGCATTCTTCCTGGGATGTTGATCAGCTTGAACTGGCTCAGCTTGAGATTTGCTGGCCAAATCAGAATTCACTTGTTTCTGTTGAAGCATCTTTTGAACACTTGGTTGGTTTTGATTAGCCTGCTTTTGGTTCAGCTGTGACTGTAGCTGCAAATGTTGCTGGCGTGAACCCATAGCTGCTAGCGGCACAGATTGATTCACAGATGATAGTGTATGACCAGAAGGTACTGGGGACACCTGGCCTTGGGAAATATTATTAGAATCTGTAGCCACCTGCTGGACTTGCTTTGTAGAAGGTGCTGCTGCCCCAGACATTAGCTTTTGCTGTGGCCGGGAATGGGTCAAAGGTTGAGAAGAAACTAGAGGTTTAGATGGTTGGACAGGGCTCACACCAGGCCCAGAATACAAGCCATGACCTTGTGTTAATTGCATCGTATGCTCTCCTTTCTCGGCACCTTCGTTGCCTGGGGTAATGCCAACACTATTAAGATGAACAAGATCAGCAGAAAGTTTCTGATGCATCAGCCCTCTTCCCACTCCCTTCAAAGGTTTAGGTTGCTGCTGAGACTGCATTTGTTGGCGTTGCTGAGGATGGTGCCTGCTAGACTGTTGAAACTGTTGCTGTAGAGGCTGCTGCTGCTGTTGCTTGCCTATCTGATTGTTCAACCCACTAGAACCAAGTTGGAGGTTCCTACCTATCCCGCGAGGGGACAAGTGGTGTTTCTGTAGGTTCTGCATTGAGATAGGAGTCATTGGTGAAGTTGATGTCAAGGGGGGTGATGCTTGAGATTGAATATGGGAACTATTCTGAAAAGAGACGGGAAGTTGTGTCTGAGGCTGAACGTGTGGCATCAAAGTGCTAGATGCAACAAACCGTTGCTGTGGCTGCATTTGCCTTTCTTTAGCTAAGCGCATGGCATATACTTGCTGCTGTGACCCAGTTGCATGATGAGGTTTACTCTGTGCATGGGGCTGCTGTGGAGGCATTTGCTGCTGTTGAGGATGATTAGGGTAAGAAGAAGTCAACCCATTGAAAGCAGGAATTCCCTGGCTGTTCCCTTGGGCCTGCATATGGAGCTCAGGTACAATTAATTGCCTTTGATGCTCTGGATTGTGGCCAGGCTATTAAAAAAGAAAAGAAAAAAAGTCATCTTAATTTTAAGACAAGCACATAAATGCAAAATCAATTGCATTTCTATACTCAAGAGGAATACTTCAAAGCTTAAGAGAAGATAATAATATAAAACAAAATCATACAAGAGAAAGGTTTGTTCATATCAACAATTAATTGCAGCATGGGTATTGTTTATCAGTAAAGCCAGAATACTACCCAATTTGATGCCATTGAGGTGAACAAACACCTATTATCCACCCTGTTAATTTCATTAATATCAGCAAGTTGTTACATCCAACCTGAAGAGATTGAAGCCTGCAATCAAGCCTATACTAATTCCTGAATTTCAGCATGTCGTTAAACCTAAAGAAAGTGTTTATTTAGATAATTTAGATACCCATAATTCATTCTCTTCCTGATCATAAACAAGAGAACTGTGATAAAATAAAACTTTAGGTTTAAAGTCGTCGAAATTTTAATTTGATGAGGTTTTTAACAGCAAGCAATCCTCAAAATCCCCACATTCTGAGGAAATATTGATGTTGATTATATATAGAAAAGAAGCACAAGCCACACAAGTATGCTGAGGCATAGATTTAATCATATTGCTCTCTAGAAAGTAAATAACTTACTCGCACCATGTGCGCGGTGTCATGTCGTCTCAACATTGAGTTGGTTTGGCCAGAACCTGGCCCAGCAATTCCTTGGAAGCCTGGCCTTGACATTGACATGCTTCTATTTATTCCAGACATCATGCCCATACCATTTGAAGCAGGTAGCATACGAACACCATGATCTGATCCAGAAACAGTCCCGGCGGGAGACAATTTGGACTGCTGAATATTCGTTCCGGATAACATTTGATTATATTGTTGGATTCTGTGCTGCTCATCAGCAGGCAAAGGTGTTCTAGGAACACCATATCTACCATCCCTAAGAGCAAATAGCCCAAAATTAGTATGAAAGTATGTAAACATGGAGAATGCATGCAAGCTGCACATATGCTTTATACCTCACAGCTGCATTAAGTGGGGAAGATGGTGATGATAAATTACTTCCAACAACCATGCCAGAAGATCCCTGCAGGGAGGAATTTCCTCCAGAGGCAGGAAGCATTGATCCAACATCTCCTTGACTCAACACAACTAAACCACTTATATGAGAACCCTGATATTCAAAGGGTAGAACATCTTGGCTTGATGCAGTGGCATCACATAGATCTAGAGGCCTTTATCAAGATGATGAACACAAAAATAAAAATTCAGCGCATTGCAATAAAAGTAACATAATAACAAGCACAACAAAAAATTAATGAACATGAATAAAATAACAAGCTAAAACATTAACTAAAACAGTAAATCTTACATTAAAATCCCTCCATTTAAGTTATTTGGGAAGACTTGTGAAAGTGCAATAACATGAGAATTATGGACTGGAACTATCTGCTTCGGATCCTGATTATCATGCTTAATCATAGAAAGAAGATTGAAAAGCCCAAGTCAGGGAAAATTGAAGAATCAAGGTGAAGTAAACAAATTAGGATTTAGGATGCTTTCAACTATTAAGACTGTAGGTTTTGTACAATTTCAGACTTTATGCCACACCACTGAATGCTAACAAAATTGTGAAACAAAAGGTGAAGATTTTCTGAAAATGGAATACATTTCGGATCAATTTAATTTAATAATTCTCCAAGAGAACAGTCTAATGTCAAATAAAATTGCATAATAGAGTGGGGAACAACATGAATACCTCCGATGAAAAGTAGAAACAATGCAAAGGATACTATGGATTCAGAGCAAGCCTCTATTCTATAAGTGGAAGCAGAGAAAGGCCACCTTCAACCAACAGAACACTTCTTTTATTTCTTTTCCAGCTTATCCAAGAAGCATTACCGAAATCCTTTTAAGAAATTGCATGTAGAGGATAATAGTACTGGTCTGCTGCTTTGACATTATCATTTATTTTCACTTTACAAATAGTTTACTGGAAGTTCAGAATTTTCATTTCAACCTCAGCACCAGCATCCACAATTACAAGATGTGAAACATCATCCATATATTTCTTTATTTAAAGAGAAGGAAGATAGCACAGTGATATTGATCGTAAAACAAATAGAATCCTAAATGGTGCATGCCAGCTTGCCTATGTCCTTGAAGCATAGTTGCATATGTTTCAAAAACACAAGGGTAAGATGAATCTAGTAGATTTAACAAGTCCTGTGTACCTTTAGAGATTAAATTAACAGTGCACGGACATCCTTAAAATGCCCAGCCATAATTTAAATCAATGTTCAAAATAATATAAAAAGAAAAAGAATTGAAATTAGTGAAGGTACCAAAAAGGCTACCTGCAACTAGTTGATCAAATTTGGCCAAAAATACCTAGTCGATTAAATCAGATTGATTTGTTCCTTAACATGCCAGAATCTCTAGAGAAAATATGTACTATAAATTTCACATATGTACCTGACTCGGTCGATAGTGCTGTTTCTTACTAATAAGTATAACTTTCTCAAAATGAGATTTCAGAGTATCCTCTTCCATCGGCCCTTGCAAACGTTGAAACAACTGTCTGGCACTTCCCTGCATGAAATACAGCAGTAGCAGCCGATGATACAAGATAAAATTAGCTCCATTGAATGTCATTAATCAAACGGTAAAAATGAGAATCTACAACCATTCAGGAAGCAAGGGTACCTTCGGAATGCCAGGCAAGGTTGATGGATATGGCTGCGAGGACCCTGAATCATCTGCACTGTCAGCTCCATCTCCACTCCTACCCATTAAAATCTTATGACGTTCCTTACATTCTTTAGGCTTGCGAAATATGCACTGCAAACATTGAGAAGTTCAAAAGATTATTTCCCATGCTGAAAAGTAGAACGGTGGAGCAAGGTGAGGGCCAAAAGAAAAAAAATAGAACTAGAAAGGCTGCTGTATATATAAAAATAAATTATAAACAAACGAAAGAACAAGTAGCACATTAAAGCTAGACACATCATTGGTTGCAATTTATATTATCTCACACACATTAGAAGGAAGCACTAGATAACAGCATATGTTTGTATAGGCCTTTCGCTCAAGCACTAACCTTAAATTGAAGGGTACCGTTGATGGCATCACTTACAAGCTGCCAATTTGAACCCATGTCATGTACAAGGACAACAAGTGCCTGAACACATCCAGAAACATCTCAAGGCCTCGTTGTAATGATAACATAAATCGAAGCATAATTTTAAGAAAAGAAAACAAGAGTTAACCTGATCTTCAAATATTGACCATGGACTACCAGGAGCAGGCTGACCAGTAGACATCTGGAAGAAGTTTCAAATCACACCAAAGCTAAGATAATCATGAAGCACATGATCACCCAGATTATCGAGAAACGGGTAACAGAAAACTACCTTGGGTGTTTTGGCTTTTCTACCCCTGTCACTGCCATGAATTAATCTAATGATTTTGCTTGGGTTGGACATATTACTCATCTGGGACCCTACTGGTGAAGGGATGGATCCATTGGGAGGGATGATGTCATAAGCACTATCAGGCTGTTGCTTCATTATCTTCAGCTTCTTGGCATTATATTGTCCATGTAAACCTAAGAAAAAAGGCAACTGAAAATGTGAAGGACAAAAAGCATAACACCAGATAGATATACCCAACCAAGTAACAAACCATTTAATCACATACGACAAAAACAGAGCTTTACCACTGGTTCCATTAGAATCAAGCTGATGACTCTCTGGTCTCTTTTTGGAATAATCTCTCTGAAAGAATAGCAGCATTAGACATGCAATCATTAATTCGAAAAGTGCACATAGAACAAAATTTTGGCAAACACAAACAGAACTTGCAGATCAAGTTCAAGGCTGCATAAAAGGACTAATGAGTTATGGCACCCTCATAACTATCATGGAAAGCAAGATCAAACGTAGTCTGATGGAATGTTGAAAATAATAAAACCTTAAAGCTACAAGTTCTTCGGTTCCGGATTTGCTATGGTCGAAGTTTGTTTGGGCTGGGTTTGCTCCTCCTAAAGTTGAAGCTTTTCTATAGCAGATTTTTCACCAGAAGATGGCAGTTAAGTCTGCCTTAATTAGGCGGGGTGTTAGCGGAATTGATGATCCTCTGTGCCCGTTGTGTGGTTCGGAAGTGGAGTTGGTTTGTCATTTATTCTTCTCTTGCAGATTAGTTTGGGGTGTGTGGGTGCGGTTCTTGAGGATGCGGAACGTATGTTCAGCCTTGCCCAATAGTCCCAACGAATTCATATTTGTTTGGGCTGATTTAATTCCGAATTCTGAGATTTGGAAATTTATTCCGGGAGCTGTAATGTGGTCCGTTTGGAAATGTAGGAATCAAATGGTTTTTGAAAAAGTAAGTTTCGATCTAACCTATCTGTTTTTTCTGGTTAGATATAGGGTGGCTACTTGGTTCTTGGCGAAGAAGTATGAGTTTCCAGTTGCACTTGATTTTCTTGTACGTGACCTAACGTTGGCCGTTATGCACAAGGGTGCGTTGAAGAGAAATCCTCCATTGACAGGTTGGTGTCCACCCCCTTCAGGGTGGTTTAAAGTTAATGTGGATGGGGCAGTGGATTGTGATTGGAGGTGCAGTGGTATCGGTTAGGGATGCCGAAGGCAAGCAGATGGGGTCTTTCTCAGTTGCGTCTGGACTTGGTCCGCCGGTCCTGACTGAACTCAAAGCAATTAAAGCAGGGTTGAAGGTGTTTTTAGATTTGAAGTGGAAAGATAAGGGGCGTCTCATTTTGGAGAGTGGTTCTTTGGTTGCTGTGAATCGGATTAAAAACACTGAAGATTGTCCTGCTGTGTTTAGCATTCTGGTTAAGGAATTAGCTAAGGGTGTGCTGGATTCTAATGTGTTGTTAAGGTTTGTGAAGAGAAGTATTAATTGGGTAGCTGATGGTTTAGCTAAGGCGGGTATTGGGTAATGTTCGCTGTGTTTTTGTTGTTTCTGGTCTTTTTTTTTTTTGATAGGAATGACAGGCCTCGTTAAAAACCCCCTTCATGATTAATGGATCATAAAGTGCTCCTTAATCAGCGGAAGGAGGAAAAGAGTGCCTTATAATTCATTAAAACACATAAATTACATAATACTTGGGGAACAATCATAGACTCCCTATACACACGAACCTATAGTAAAAAAATAACAAACCCAAACATAACCAAAAGGCTAAACAGCTAGCCAATACCAGCCTTTGCTAAGGCATCAACCTCAACATTAGCTGACCTAGCAACCCATCGAATGATGCCTCCCAAACCTCTTAACTTAGTAATAATTTCGTACACAAGGTCTACATATACATTGGGACATCTATCATAGTTCTTGATCCAGTCCACCGCAACTTTACTATCGGATTCAACAATCAAGCGATCCTCAAAACGCCGCTGGATTGAAGCAAAGAAAATCAAGCCCTTCTTAATTGCCATAAGCTCTATCAAAATAGGAGGACCCAGACCAGAAGCCTCTTGAAAAGAACCCACCACCGAGCCATTCTCCATTCTTAGAATTCCCCCAACTCCACTTTTCCTCCAATCTACAGTAACAACTGCATCCACATTCAATTTAATATAGCCCTTTGGAGGCCGAGTCCAGGCCTTAATTTTAATGATTGAAGATCTAGAATTAGCGCAACAATCCCCAAGCGAAGGATCACAAATAAGACAGTCCTTTAGAATAGACGTCTCCTTATAGACAGCTAAGAACCATGCAGCCAGCCTACATCTTGCCATAAAGAACAGATCAATCTGATCTAAACTCCCCTTATCAAACACAATCGCATTCCTACATTTCCAGATTGTCCAAAACACCACTCCCGGAATGAAAGTCCAGATTATAGAATTAGGCACCAAATCTCCCCAAGCTAACAAGAAACTTTTAGCATCAGCTTGTAACACTGAACAAACTCCCCAAAATCTCAAAAAATTATTCCAAACAGACCACGCGACCGAGCAAGTTAAAAATAAATGAGAAGAGGATTCATCCACCTTCTTACATAATGGACAAGCAACATCAACAATTGCTGAAACTCCTCTCTTCTGTAATTCAAGTTTAACTGGCAACCTTTGATACACCACCTGCCACATGAAGATCTCCACTCTAGGAGGCACCAAACCCCTCCAAATGTGCTTCATCCAAAAAGGATCTGCTGTCAAAACAGGACAATAAGACTTCAAACACGAATTAACAGAAAAAATTCCTTCCCCATTCCCTCTCCAAACCATACCATCTGACATCTCATTATAAAGAGTGAAGTTATGGATTACAGCCATTAAATCAGCAAACTGATCCAATTCCCATTCACTTAAATTCCTTCTCAATTGAATATGCCAAACCCAACCTGAAGACCGAAACTCCCCAAACTCATTAAGCTTCCCATTTTTGTTTATCGAAAGAGCAAACAGTCTTTGGAAAACCACTTTAAGAGGGGAATTAAGCGCCCAACGATCAAACCAAAATCTGATACTCCCACCATTCCCCACCTTAATATTAAACAAACTTCGAAACTTGGTTCCAAAGTGATCCTCATTGAAATGGTTATTGACCATCGATTTCCAGATCCAAGAAGCATTAGTAGGTAGTTTTTCATTGATCGACAAAGAACTAGAATCCAAATTATATTTACTGCAGATTACCTTTTTCCACACTAAATCGCAGTCATTAGCAAACCTCCAACTCCATTTCCCAAGTAGAGCTCTATTCATATAATTAAGATCCACAACACCAAGACCACCCACCCGTTTATCAGAGCAAACTGTTGACCAATTAACCCAATGAATTTTTTTGACCTCAACCCCTCCTCCCCATAAAAATCTAGCCATGATAGCATTGAGTTTATCATATACCGAAACAGGAATCTTGAACAAGGACATATAGTAGGTTGGTAAAGAACACAAAACTGCCTTTAATAAAACCAATCTGCCTGCCATAGACAGAGTCTTAGCCTTCCAGCCTGTTAATTTGTTGTAAAACTTCTGCACTATCGGATCCCACATCTGCTGAGAATTTCGCTTAGCACCAAGAGGAAGCCCCAAATATTCCGACAGGAAATGACCTACTAAACAACCTATAGCATTAGCCCACTGAGTAACCAATTCCTCAGAAACATTAATCCCAAATAATTTACTCTTAGTGAGATTCAATTTAAGGCCTGACATAACTTCAAAAACTTGAAGAACCCTCTTAACATTAAGAATCTGAGTCTTCGATGCATTGCAGAAGATGATGTGATCATTTGCAAATTGCAGATGAGACAAATTTACAACATTCTCGTCTTTGCCAATTGTCAGGCCGCAAAACAGGCCTGACTAGACTGCTTGGATAATCAGAAGATTAAGCAATTCGCCAACAAGATTGAACAGCAATGGGGAGAGGGAACATCCCTGTCTAAGACCTCTAGACAACGAAAATTCATCCGTAGGAACACCATTAACCAGCACTGACATCGAAGCAGTAGAGACACACATCCGAATCCAGCTACACCATTTTGATCCAAAGCCCATTTTATCCAAAACTTTAAAGAGAATGTGCCAATCTACCGTATCATAGGCCTTCTTAAAATCCACCTTAAAGACACAAGCCTTCAAACCTTTCTTCCTCCATAAGTCGATACCTTCATTAGCAATAAAAGAACAATCCAAAATTTGTCGACCCGGAATAAAAGCAAATTGTGAGTCACTGATAATATCCTTGATGCAACTTCTCAATCTTCTCGACAAACACTTGGAAAGAATCTTGTACATCCCTCCTACAAGAGAAATAGGTCTGAAATAGGAGCTTTGTTACTATCACACGAGTTTATGGTATCCCAAATCTCTTCTTCCGAAAACTCCTTCTCTAGCAACAGACTCTGCTCCAGAGAAATTCTTGAAAAATTCAAATTAATATCCTCCACTTCCAAGGTAGAACGATGATTAAAAGCTTTAAAAAAATGTTCTCTGACAGTAGACTTAATAATAACCGGATCTTTGATAATTTTACCCTCAACGTGAAGTGCATTCATAGAATTCATCCTCCTCCTAATGGAAGCACTTGTGTGAAAAAATTTAGAGTTCCGGTCTCCATCTTTCACCCACTTTTCTCTTGAATTTTGAAACCAAATTTGCTCCTCAACTCTATAAAGTCTCCACAGTTCATTTCTCATTTTCCTCAACTCTGCCGCATTGACATCTAAATTGGCACTCTGATTTTGATGCAAACTTAATTCAAACTGTTGAATTTTATCTTCCAGAGCAGCAATATCCAACCGTGGAAACTGTTTCTTATCCCCAGACCAGCTCTTAATGGCTGACTTTGTATTCCTTAGAATGCTCAAAATTCCAGCTTTTTTATTCTCCTCCTTAAACTCCTTAATAGACTCAACAACCTTCTCTTCAAAACCATCCTCAGACAATAAATAATTGAACAATCTGAAAGGCCTCTTCCCCCAATAATCATCCCCACTCTCAAGAACAATAGCATTATGATCCGAGATGGACTTTGGCAGTAAAAATTGGTTGATACAGCAAAATTCTTCTGAGAAACTGACATTAACCAGGAACCTATCCAGTTTAACAACAGTTGGAACATCCCGATTGCTGCTCCATGTAAATTTCCCCCCTATTAAAGGCAAATCAATAAGTCCTGATTGCTGAATAAAGAGCCTAAAAATTTCCATCGAGTTCCTATTTTGAGCCATACCATCCTTCTCATCTTCTGTTAAGTAGCCATTGAAATCTCCTCCCACACACAAAGGGACATTGGAACCATTAATGAACAGTCCCAGTTCTTCAAAAAAACTTGCCTTCTCTTCTTCCACAGAAGGACCATAGACGTTTATAAACCCACATTTAAGTTGGTTGAACTTAAATTTCCCAAACACTGCTAAAAACCTCTTATGAATATGATGCTCTTCTGACACAAAAGCAGTCTCATCCCAACAACTAAAAATACCTCCTGAAGAACCTTCTACTGGAGACACAACAAAACCTTGCAACTTATTCAGTCCACTCCTTAAAAAAGCGAATGGTAAATTCTCAAGTTTTGTTTCTTGAAGAAAAAGAAAAGATGTTTTTTTCTCAGAAACTAATTTCTGAACAGCTCTCTGCTTTTCTTTTTTACCCAACCCCCTAACGTTCCACGACAAAATAATAAGCCTTTGCATTCTAAACTTATATGACAAACCCAAAAAATCCTATGAATTGCCCCCGACCTCAGCTGATCGCACTCGAGCCTTTTTCCAAGTCCATAATCTTTTGTAAAAAAGCATCCTTACCTTCCTTGAAGGAAACACCCATAATCTTACTGATTTCCCATGTAGCAACAACTCCGTCCAACAGCACAGGAAAAGCTGATGAGGATAATGTGGACACACTGGCATGTTCCACAGCTTCCCTAAAGAGTGATCTTCTAAATCTCCTATTAAGACTCCTCATCCTTGGGCCATCATTGTCCCTTTCTGACAAACCAACTACTGGAATTTCAGAATTACCACCCTTAGAACTTGCAGCCCTACTTAACTCCTTACTGGACTCCCCTCGATAACCCTTCTTACAAGCCTGCACGTCTTTAATCCACAACTTTCTTCTCTTAGACCTGCAGTAAAACCTCTTGAAACTCCTAACTAACTTCCTACGAACCGGGCCGGACTTCACAGAACTTACAGACCGAGGCTGTGAACCACCTGATGAACTTACCACCTTAACCACTTTAACAGACCCCATACCATCTTCATTCCCAGCTGGATCATTAATATTATCTGCAGCAGAACAGAATTTTTGACCAATATCTAGGTCCAGACCACTCAACACTGGACTTGATGTACCTATCCGAAGCCCATTCTCCCAGTCAACTTTATCATGCTCAAAAGAAACACCCCCCAAACTCTTTCCACCTTCTATTCCTCCAATAAAGCCTTCCGACTTTCCATGCTGGGTGGAGACAACTTCTGCATCTTCCACACCTCTACACTTGTCCACTGAATAATTAATTATTGAATTTGAACACCAATTGAAACCTTTTTCATTTCCCGAGACATTGTCATGATGGGAGCCTTGGGCCCATTCCAAAAGCCTAGAATGAGCTCCTGATTGGTCCTGACAACCCACGTGCCAATCATTCTGCACCTGAACATCCTCTTGACTGCACTTAGAGGAGCTCCCCTCCCCTGGAACCTCTGGCACATCCTCTTCCACCAATCCTGACAACTCAGGAAAAAATTCATCACTACAATCCACCTTAATTTTGATCAGTAATTTCCTCCCATTAGTATTCACACTCATATGCTCAGGGATGTCAAAAGGACTGACGACCCTAAGCAGCAGTTGCGCCACCCTGCAGTCCACTCTTTGGGCAGTTTCATCTTTGATCTTCACTAACTCCCCCCACCTAGATGCAAAACTAGTAAAGAAAGGAACGGACCAACAATTTAATGGAACTCCAATAATGGAAACCATACAAAAAGGTAGGGGAATGCCACCCTCATCCAAAACAGGTTCCAAAGTCTCAAACCAGAAAGATAAAGCTTCCCAGTTTCCTTCCGTCACCCTCCTCTTTTCCTCCGCCGACTGGAAAACAACCATGCAAGCATTTTTTGCAAAGCCCCATCTAACGACCTTAACATCGAATCCCTCATTTCTTAACGCTTTCTGCACAAAATCTACTTCAAATATTGCATTGCAAATCCCGGTCAGAGACGATCTCAACCAGACCCTATCATCCACCGGAATAAAAACATCCATAGGTTTTCTCCTCTCCTCCACAGGTAAAAAATTGCCCTTCTTGACAACCTCTGGAACCTTGTTCACCCCAACAACCGTATCCTTAAAGGTCCTACCATCATAAAACCTATTCATCAACTCCATCTTCCTAGCCCTTTCAGTATTAGACAGCACCCTTCCCACATTTTTCCTCATTGAAGCCCCACTAGATGAACCCTCTACCTTCTCATCTACCTGTCTCCTCAACGGAAAGACTTTTTTATACTTAGCTACAGACACTGAGATTCTCCTTCCATCAAACAGGATATTATTCATATTTTCCACTGCATTATACAAATCCTCCTTACAAGCGAAGTGGACAAAAGCAAACGTACTAACCTTATACTTCGGTCTGTTATTAATAAGAGGAATGAACACCTGAAGAACTTTCCCATAAACACTAAAATGATTCCATAAATCACTACGATGCACTTGCTTACTTAGATTGTCAACAAAAGCTGACCATAAAACTCCTCCATGGACCTCTCTAATCTTGTTAACAGAGAACTTGCTTTTCAAAAACTCATTCTCTCTCTCTCTAACTTTCTGCATTCTCTCTCCTGTGCAGTATCCTTTTGTTGAAAACTTGTTTTTGGTCTTTGAGAATGGTTGTAATCTAGGGGGTCCCTACCTAGGTTGTACTCTATGTTTCTATTAATAAAATGTGGGCACTCTTTTCCTCCTTCCAATGTCCGTTAAGATACCTTGTAGCTTAACGGTTATGAAGGGGGTTTTTAACGAAGCCTTCTTCTTATCAAAAAAAAAAGAAGGAAAATTCTCCTCAATCAAGAGAACGGTATAAATATGACTGAATTTGGCAACCAATAAAAACAGGCAATACCTTTCAAAATTGAATCTCAAGCTGGGTAAAAATACACTTTTGAAGTAACACACACAAGAATCTATAAATGATAATTATTCATGCAGGCATAATAAAAGAATTAAAATCTTAAATATAAAAGAAATATACTAATTCATTAAAACAGAGAAAACTATGAAGCAAAAAAAAAGGGAAAATTATTTCTATCAAAATAAACAGTTTGGAACAATAATGGTTAAAAAAATACCTGCTCATTGTGAACAGGAGATTCCAGCTGCCAACCCTGATTGTATGCAGAACCCTACCAGAAACATAATCCAGGCACCTTTAGAAACCATGTAAATAAATAAAGAGACTATCCATACCATTCCTGGGGGAGATCCCAGTATCAGTTAAAACAGAAGAATTCCTACATACGAGATTCTTGGCCTTTTTCTTCTTTTTAGGTTTTCTTGGTGTTCCTGCACAATCATATGGTAGCTGCCTTTCAAAGTCTCCAATAGATTCAACCTCCACTCTGTTTTGGGTCCGTAATCCTCCATGCACTGTACTCTGATCGCCCTGGAAAGAATTAGTATCTCCACTAGAAGCATCATTTTGGGTCGGAACCTGTAAATCCCCAGCAGCAGCTGCACTGCTAAAGGGACTTAAAACCCTCTCCCTGGAGCCAGTGCGCACTCGTTTTGTCGGAATTGGACCCCCATTTAGATTATTGCCTGGCCTTTTTCCCATCACCATGGACGATTGAGCACAGTTTCCATATGGTAAATCAGCAGCCATTTTATAATGCCTCGCAGGATATGATTTCATTAAGTTCTTTAGCTTATTCTGGTTTAATTTTGATGATCGTCTCCCCTCAAAGGTTCCAGGCAAATAATATGTACTTGTTTCTCCATCCTCATCATAAACAAAGTCGTCATATCCAAACTCTGAATTCAATGAAATTGTTAGGAACATAAGACTATTTGATTGTTAAGAACCTCAAAAAAAAAGTCAAGATTACCTGCTCCAGCATCATAAGCAGACATTTCAATCCCCTCTTGTACAGCACTCCTAGTTTTCTGGAGGGAGGAAAAACCCTTCAATCATAAGAAAGATCGAGAAGAAAAGTTCCAACAGCGGCAGCCAGGTAGTTTAAAAATAGAAATGGAACTATATATAAAGTTCATGATAATCATGACCGAAGTATTTTAAAATAAATTATATCAGTTGAGAACCATGCCCTTCAGAATCTGACCCTCCCTCAATAAATATAGCAGAAGCATGTATAAACTCGTTAAAAGAAACATTTTACCTCAGTATGTACCAAATAAGATTCAATAGATCTTCGGTAGGTTTCCATAGCTCCAGACTGAACTCCAAAGAAAAGGCTTTCCTGACAATAAAGTGCATACAAAATTGAGCAAAGAATGTAAACATAAAGAAAATATTACCACAAGAAAAGGAGTCCAGAACTGAGCATGCAGGGTTACACAAATATTATGCAAAAGCCAAGAATAATGAACAAATAAAACTCAAAAGATACAAAATATTTAGGCCATACTTCTGTTAGGTATTCATCCCAAGAAATGTCCATAATAGCCAAATCAGATACCCTATCAGGAGTTGCTGGTGCTTCAGCTAGAAGTGATGGAACTGAGGAGCTATTATATTTCAAATATCTAAGACCATAACCCCGGATAGCAAATTCATTGTTCTTTTCAGTGTGCTGCTGGCCCTCCTTTGCATCCTGCTCCATATCATGTTTCACTTTCACAATAAGATAAGGCAGAAAATATTTCAAGGTCTAATACGAACTAGAAGATGAATATAAGGGGAGTACTGGACTGTTTTCACAAGAGAAAGAACTGAAAGCAAGGACAAAGATCCTAAACAGTTCTAGAACTATGACTCAATTCCAAATATTTATGTGGATATTCTAGAATATAGTTCTGGAATTCAAAGGCCATAATGCTTTTTCAGTTGAACATCAACTTCTCATGCAGCGCCTAAAAACTCAATCATCAAATAATCCAACCAAGCCCAATAAACCAACACACACTTAAAAAAACAGGGAGAGCATAATAATAGAAATTAGCATTAAGATCCAAAAAATGTTACGATTAAAAAAAAAGACAACAATTGATACAAGTAGCCAAGTTCTCAAAAGTCTCTCTTTACATTTCTAACATAAGTCATTCTTCCCCAGACCAAGCAAAAGATACCATGTATTGGAGAACAGAATGCATAAGCTGATAACCAACATAAAATCATCATTAACATCAAGTTTGGAGAAAAAATATACAGGAAAAGAAAGGAAGGTTAAGGAAATGAAACGATACACGTATATTTTGTTTGGATAGTTTAAATAAGCAAGGGAAAAAATAGTAAAGGAATTTTCACAAACTTTGTTTGGTTAAACCATGGAAAGGAAAGGAAAGGAAAAGATTGATCATAATGAATTTTTCCAATTATATCCTCCTTATAAAATTACTTGCGTAAAAGATTAAGATGATAAAAAAAAGAACTCCACTTCTTAAAAAATAACTTTCTTTCCCTAGCTTTTACCCAAAATTGGGGTAAATGTAAATGGATATTCAACTCCAATGTCTTTCCCTACCTTAAATAAAAAAAATGATCCAAACAGGGGAAACAATCTCAGTTTCCTTAACTTTCCTTTCCCTTATCTTTCGTCAATCCAAACACAGGGTTAAAAAACCACTGTAATCAATTTGAAGAATATCCAAGCAACTCACATGAGACTTTAATAGGAAAATTAAACATAAAAATTATCATCACTGTTACCACACAGAAAGACATACGTAAATAGATTACAAACAAATACCAATAAATCTCAAACAAATAACTAGTACCCCATCAAGTTCTGTAGTCGTAGTCTCAGTAACCTCAGTGGACCTTGATCCCACCAAGTCATTGCCAGAGATTTTTGTATCAAGACTTGCATTCTTACTATTTAGAAGCACCTCTGCTGAATGCCAAAAGTCCATGACTGCATTAGCAAGGGTTAAAGCTATTTTTTTTAGTTTCCAATGTTGATTTTTTTCTTCAAATTTCAATCGAGAATTAAAAGCCACACGCCTACAAATTTGAGCTGCAGCAGTCATCTTCCAAAGACGCTCCTATAAGCATATAAAGAACAAAAAGGGAAGCTTATAGGCCAATGACTACGTTCCATACCCAATTTCATATAAAGAACAAAAAGGGATGCATAAGATGAATTTAATATATATTTAATAATAAAATAATACCTGAGCAAAATCATTTGCTAACCATGCCATTTCCTCAAGGACAAAGTCCCAGTTAGATTTTTTACTGTTTTCTGAAGGTAAGGTACCAACAGATAGCTCTGCAATCCTTTTACGCTTAGCCTGTTTACCATTATACCAAACCCTTTAAGCTTTTCAAAGGAAAAAGCAAAATACATCTAAATTTAATAAAGTAATGGGCACACATCATTGACACCAATAAAAAAGATAAACAAACAACCTCTATGATCCGTGCCTCTTCCAAAATGGAATCTTCATGTGCCTTGTCAACCACTTTCACATGATTATCCGAACTAGTTCGAGTATCGGCAGTAGCAGTAGAGACTATTCCTAACAAATTCCTCTCAGGAATCTCACAAATATAATTATCCATTGTGCCTTGCGGCCTACTTGCACAATTTTTTTCTATGTTGGAATTAGAATTATCACCCTGAACAGTACTAACTTTCCTCTCAGCTTCTGATACAGCATGACTGCTTTGCATCACCTCGTTGGAAGGACAACTTACCTCATTTTGCAATTCAGATCTTACTTCTTCCTCCACATTGACAGTGGAATCATTAAGCAAGTGATTCTTACTCATGGAAGTATTAGCATCACAAAAGACAGCATCATTATCAACAGCCTTGATCTCTTTCTTTTCTTTTGCCAATTCACCAACAGTTAAGTCCAGTGACTCTTTCTTTTCTGATGTTTGTTCCACGGGCTTTCCATTAGAATAAATTTTTTTTGGATCAATACACACATCATTATCATTGTTTAAGCCTAAGTTTGAGCTTTTTTTAGTGCAAGATGATTCTGAATCCAAGCCCTTTGTCCCTATTGTCTCACTGCTATTTTGCCCTTCATTTGTTATGTTTTTAATATCTCTTTTGCAATTACCAAACCCATTTAGCTGATGGGAATTAGTTTCATTCTCAGCTTTTCTTGTGCCTGCACCAGGTGGACATTCAATACTGGCTGAAACCATCTGCTCCTTCCCTCCAACAAGATTAGGTTCCTGAAAAGCCAAACCAATTGGAGATGTATGAGCTTCCATTTGAGCAGGTTCCTTAGGCAGGTCATTTATCAATGTTTTGGAAGCTATGATATCGACCTTGCTTTCACGTAGATCACCCTTTGACTGGCCAGACATTTCTTCCGCAGCCTTCTCACCATCAAACTCCATATTCAGTTGATTATCAGAAGTTATCACCTTTGAAGCCAAATCAACATCAGAAGTTGCAGATTTTGTGGTATTAACAGAGGATACGTTATTGTCCTTTTGTTTATTTGGTTCAGATGTCAAAGCCTTCGCATCCTTTGATGCTCCACATGTAGGTAAAGAAGAACCATGACCAACTCGACCCTGGATAATATCTGTAGAACCCGATCGAGCTCCATCTCGTTTGATTTTGGACCTGTACCTTCGAGCATATGGGCGAAAAATAGTTGAATCTCCCGACTCCTTAACGTTTTGAGTCCCATCCATCTGTGAAGATTGCTCTGATGGAACAACAGTATTCCTCTTACGAGGATCCATAGACTTCCTTTCACCTTCAGGCAACTCATTTTCTCCATCAAAAAGTAATAGATTATCGGCACTATTGGGTTCACAAATCACAGGAACCCCTGGTCTACCACTACTCTCTACAGAATCGCCATGAGGTGAGGCAGTCGGCGCAAAACTACCTTTTGCTTCACTGTATTAATAGTGGATAAGGGAAGCATCAGCTAGTTACTCCAATATAAAGCAGAACTATGGTTCTGTAACAGACAACAGAAAAAGAATATACCTAGTTACAAAATCTTGTGCTTGTCGATCAGTGAAGGAAGTAGATTGGACACTAACTGAATCTGTATTGCCAAATTTGAAATCCAAGGGATTTCCACCCTGATAGCAATGTGTTTTGATGAATATTAATCTATAAAAAATTAGAAGAAGCAAGAGAAGATAAAAAACATACTTTTTCAAGAAATTCTAGTTCCTTTCTTCTTTCCTCAAGAACATCATACTCATGTCTGATATAAATAAGAGAAAAATATGAAAGAAAATAAGTTGCCTGTACTTACGAATGATAATCAAGTGCATTTTTATGAAAATTTAAAAGGTTATGAGCACACAGAAATGGTAAGTAATAATCACCTCAACTCTGCTTGAGCCTTCTCAATGGATGATCTGCGTGGAGAGGTTTGGACACCAATCCCAACTCCACCATCAACAACCCCTCCCATGAAATCAACCTCAGCATTTACTAAGAGAGCGGATCCTGAATTACAGCCATGCATTATCTACAGGCTGGCCCCTCCCATCAATATAAGAAAGAATATATTGGTGATTACCTACAAAAACGTTAGAAAAGTATATATATATATATAGAATTTCAAGTAGAGTAAATAGAAACCAAGGCAAATAATGAATATAAAAGAAGCAGCAAAACCATGACAAACAAATATTTTATTTTTCCCCTTCGGTAAGTTGCAATGGAGACACCCTAATGACCACAGTAAAGATAGCATGCTACTAGTTCATTCAATAAGGATTCAAGTTTGTATGAATTCACAACTGTGAAAACTGATATCATCAAAATAACTCAATATAATCAAAATATAAGTTTTTCAGAAGCTCAAATATGGACAGACCCAACATGTAAGAAAAAGGTTAACCGCCCCACCCCCACCCCAAGAAATGGAACAAGAACAACAAAAAAGGCATACAACAGAGAAGAACTATGCAAGCAGTGTATACATTGTTTTACCATAAGAAGGATCACTTTAGAAAGACTTTTCCCAAAAAAGAACAAACTGCACTCGTAAAATACGTTTAACTAGATTAATGAGCAGCAGCATTACTCGGACTGACTGATATTCTGGCAAATAAAGGTGATTCATACTTTTTCTGTTATTTTCAGAGATGAATTTCCAAAAGGGAAACAACACTTTACAACGGTATATTATCAATAGTTGATTGCATATCTTTCACCTCTTATTTCCCAATTCTGCACAGCAATTACACGGCAACGGAAGATAACCAAAGCATCTCAAAATTAAAGCTCACTCCCTCTTTACATCTATTGAAAAATGAATAAAACAATATTAAACTTGCATTAGGAGGGGTTGCCACTATGCTCTAAATAGTTAAAAGCTTGATGAAGGAAATGCATAGTTCATCACTAATCCAAACGCCAAAATCAATCCTGGATTATGGAAATCAACAATTCTATCACTCAATCCGATAAACATTCCTCATATTATAGATATGCATGCACGTAGAAACAAATGATAGCATCTAAATAGCTTAAGAGCAGAAATTCTCTTCAAATTCCAGGAAAATAACCAGTAGAACTAAAAATTCAGAAGCTAAACAAAACGTAGAGATTAAGAAGCTTCCTCAGCCTTTAACTTCAAATTAGTGTAAATAAACACGTAAGATGACAGTCAACCACGTAAATCCATAAGCATTCAATCGAAATGCGTATAGAAAACCCCCAAGAGGAACAAATGGAAACCCTAAATGCGTTGAATCACGGAAATTAAACCCTAATTTGAAACATTACACAAATTCTAGGGTTTCTAAAACAAAAATTAAGTACGAAAATAACCTGAATTGGGATATGCGATCGAATAATTGGGAGCTAGGGCAAAGCACCGAGGTGTAACTGAAACGTCCCCACTCTCTTCAACAGCTTTGTTTATCTATCTCTTAGGGTTTTGAAGCTTCGAACCTTCCCACAACGCCTTGCCCTCAATCAAAACGGCATGAACTAACCATGTCTTGCCCTCAATCCAGACGACATGAATTGACTATATAATACGATACAAATGCTAGCCATAAGCGAGTAGTCGAGTCCCTCTCTATTAAAAGTCCTTTCTGTAAAAAAAAATTTAGTTTTAACTCTCAAAAATGGCGATTTTTTTTGTACTGTTTTGTTTGGCTCGGGTGCTTTTCGGGGTTACTATGCGACCCCTCTCAGTGAGTAGTAGGCTTGGATTTTGCCTAAGGAAGACGACGAGACAAACGGGCTTTGAGCTGTGTAGTTATGGATCATTGATTATGGGTTTTGTTTGGGCTTTAATATATTTGCATGCAATGTTTGCTTAATTCTTTTATGATGGTTAGATTTGACAATTTCATATAAAAAATAAGTAAAATATAACACCATATGTACATAAGAACATTTTAAAATTATAAATAAATATTTAAAATAAGTATAAACTATATAAAATAATACATAAACATAAAAATTGATCGAGCTCATGCTATATTATTGTCTTTTATATATTAGAATTTGTTGTTTCATTAGTGAAATTATAGTAAAAGTTATATTTTTTAAGTATAATTATTAGTATTTATTTGTTAACCGATTAATTTAGATTAAATATTATAAATGTATATTATGAGAGTACTTATTTCAATTCAATTTAAGATATTTATAACGTCAAAATTTAAATTACTAATCTTATTTAAGAACTAATGCTTCGTCCCGCTATTTGATCATTAATATACTATAATTGTAGTAATGTATAAATTTATTATTCAATTTTTAATGACTAAATTTAGAGCTAAAAAATAAATTGATGCTCTCTAAATTTTTGGAAATGAGTTGTTGATTTTGTAGAGTATCTGCCACAGAGTAATTGCAGGTGAAAGATTGAGGGATTATATTTTACTATTATATAATTACTTTTATTATAATTTTATTTTTTATTTTAAAATTATTTTATATATTTTAATTGTTTTTTTTATCATCATTGATTATTATAATATATTTTAATTGTTTTTAATGTTTAAAACTAAGAAAACCAAGCAAAAAGCTGAGAAAAGGATAGGAAAGCGTTAATCAAAGAAATGTTTACACAAAAACAGACGGAGATGATTCTTAACCTACTAATATTCAAGAAACAATTAACAAAGTCAAAAGGAGGAAGATGAATCAGAAAATAACTGAGAAAGAAAGAAACATTAGAAAATCTCAAGAATTTCCAAGACGAAGGCATTGCAAAGTGGGCAGCTCCCTCGCTGAACCGAGAACTCCTTGGAGCAAAGGCGGCAAAACGTATGCGTACAAGGCATGTACGCCGAGCTCGTAATATTGACCTTGCAAACGCAACACGTGAATTCCATTCCCTTTGATTGCACGGTTTCTTCCTTTTCCTCTTCCTCTTCCTCTTCTTCTTCACAGTACTCCTCGTCTTCATTTATGTAACTCGATCCCGACTCACCCAATAAATCCATCAACGACATCTTAACAGTTTCCTCGCCCTCGGCCGTACCGTTATTTTCCGCCTCTTCTTTTTCGGCTGCAGCTGCCGCCGCCGCTTCCGTCGCTTCCTGTGAAGCAACTGCTTCTCTGGCGGACAATGATCTCTCCTTACCCAAAGGCGCTCCCCTAAAAGAGTCGATGCCTTCTTCATCGTCGTATGACTTAAAGCTTCTCGACGGTGGACCGTTACTCGGCGTGCTGGAATCCGAATCATTGTTATCAAACCGTACGGAAGTCCTCCGAGCCAATAGTGGCCGGGACTTCCCATCCGGGGCACGTTTTTGGGATCTTTGAACGTTAATATCGGATGCCGGAATAGGAATCGAAGAGGTCCAAGACGAACCAACGGCTTTCTTAAGCCGGAGCTTCTCCCGAATTAACTTCCAACTCTTCTTGTCCTTGGTAGATGTATCATCTGGTACAGTATCCGCAAGTACAAGATTCTGAGCCGGCGGTGGTTCAGATTGTTTAGTTTTGTTCTGAGATGCCGGCAGTTGAGCTTGTTTAGCTTTGTTCTGAGCTACCGGAGGTTGAGATAATTTAGCTTTGTTCTGAGCTACCGGAGGTTGAGATAATTTAGCTTTGTTTTGAGCTGCCGGCGGTTGAGCTTGTTTAGCTTTTCCCAAAACGTCGTCAAGAGTTAAACCAGCTAAACTATTATCAACCGGCGGCATCTGCTAAAACAACGTGAGCTTCCATTACACTTTGCATTATTTAAAAAAGGGGAAAACTATGTATTCAGTCACCAACTTATTCCTACAGTTCCATTTTGGTCCTTCAACTGATTTTTAATTAAAATGATATTTAACGTTACATTTTGGTTCTTTTTTAGTCATTACCGTTAAAAAATTAATGATGATGTTCCCATTTCATCATAATATAATGCTACATTATCATTTAAAAATTAAAAAATATATATTAAGCTAGCATTTTTGTTAATCTTTTAACGAAAAAGTGACCAAAACGTTACGTTAGATATAATTTAAAAATAATAGAATGACCAAAACGAAATCATAAAAATAAGTGGATGACTAAATTAACAGTTTACCCATAAAACAATTATGTAAAAGAAAACCAGCGATTACCCTAGAATTTCGGGGCAGTTTGGCGGGATGTATAAAAAGCAACTCTGATGAAAAACTTTATTTTCCAGGGCTTTCAAAGTTTCACCTGTACAACACACAAGGCAATTATGATTAAATATAATTATAACGTATGATTCATTAAGATAAACAAAGAAGATAAAGTGGGAGCACACACACGTTGGGAAAATGTTGCAGAATTCTGGGTTTTGTTTTGTTTTGTTATTCCCCTCGACGGAAGAGTTTGAAAGGAGCGGAGGGCAAGGGCGAAAGGGGAGAGAGATGGGAGAGCTTTGTGATCAAAGGAATGAGCGAGTATTATGGGCGAACTTGTGGAGTGGCCTTTTACTCGTTTCTCCTTTGACAAAGTATCTTCTACTGTCAAGTTTTTAGTTTTTTTAATTTACCATTTTTTACCATTATTATTATTTTTTTGGATAAGTTATATTATCCAAAGAAGCAGTAAACTATTGCAATCAACAAGGTGCTCACACCAAAGAAACCAAAACACCCTATTAAACATCCTCCAACTATCATAAAGCTTCCTATTTACATCGTCCTCTTTATCAAACTTCCTATGAACAAGTACAACTCTCACTGACTCGCAACTCATCGCGTCCCTTGGAAGGCAGCAAAGCAATAAAACACCTTCCCAGATTTTCCGAGCAAACCAGCATTCAAAGAACAAATGGTCTTTGGTTTCTAATCCATCACAAAAAAACACATCCTCCCTCCACCGCAATCTCTATATTCAAGAGTCTATCTTTTGTGGGAAGCCTTCCCAAAATGGACATCCACCTAATAATAGAGTGTTTAGGATTGTGCAAAGGAAACTATAATAATTTTTGCCATCCAACCTTACCCCTTCTAAGCCGAACCGAATCCCATATCGTACCGAATTCACACCATGCAAACTAGGAGCAGAAGCATACACTCCTTGAGCTTCGCTTCTCAAATCCATCAGTTTACCCAAGCTCCAGCTATGAGGAGAAGCAACAAGCCTTATTCCAACATTTTAGATCCTTCAAGCCAAGCTCCCCTCAGACTTTTGGGTACAAATTTTCTCCCAACTAACTCGAGCCCCATCCACAACTGTATCTTCCCCCTTCCAAAAGTAACAAGTGCAAAGTTGATCAATCCTCTTAATGAGAGCCTAAGGTAAAATAAGCTGCCAACACCAATAGTTTGTTATACTGAACAAAACAGATATGATTAATTGTAACCTGCTCGCGAAACTTAGATGTTTATTCGTCCAACCCCAACTTAGCTTTAATCTTGTCCACCAAGGGAAAACAGTCTTTTTCAGTCAACTTTCGCGTAACCAATGGCACCCTAAGATATCGAACGGGGAGGGATTCAATTTTAAAATCCATGAACCTCTCAACAACATAAGTTTGTTCAGCTACCACCCCCAAAACAAAAGCTTCACACTTAGAAGCATTCAACTGGAGTCTCGAAATCAAATAGAAACTATCTAAAACATAATGTACACCAGCAACCGAATTATAAAAGCCCTTGCAAAAGATTAACAAATCGTCTGCAAAACACAAATATGTCAACCCCACTTTCTTACATTTAGGATGATACATAAAGATCCCATTTTCAGTTGGCAAATCAAGCATTTTAGACAGGATATTCATAGCTACCACAAACAAAAGAGGCAAGGAATTATAAAAGCCCTTGCCTAACGCCTTAAGCACCTTTAAAAAAAACCCATCAGGCTTCCACTGAAGGAAACCTACAATCGAGAGTCCATGAAACAACCTTTAATCTATTCTCGAAACTGAAAAGGTAACCCAAGAGCTTCCAGTATCCGGATCAAAAAACTCCAACTTAAGGAATCAAAGGCCTTCCTAATATCAATCTTCAAAGCACATCTAGGAGAAAGTGCCTTCCTAGTATATCTTTTCACCAACTCCTGAGCCAAGAGAGTATTGTCCATAATATCTCGACCATGAAAAAAAACAGTCTGATTCAGCGCCACCATACCAGGAAATACACTTGCAAGCCTACCAATAATTATTTTCGTAATTGCCTTATATTCCACCGAGCAGTAGGAGATAGGCCAGACATCTTTCATCATACTAGCATTGGGAGTCTTAGGCTCAAGCACCAAAGCATGAATATTAAATGCAACCAAGAGGGAAGAAGTATGGAAGAAACTCCTTACAGCTCGAACAAGGTTATTACCAACAATATACCAATCATCTTTAAAGAAGAGTGAGGTGTAACCATCGGGATCAGGTGCCTTGTCATTCCACTGGTATAAAATAGCATCCCTAATCTCTTTATCTGTAACCTCCCTAACCAGCCATTCCCCCTCTCCAGTAGATAAAGAGGAATCAAGTAGAGTTCGAAGTATATCTACATCACAATCTCTAACCATTGGATCAAATGATCCAACAAGCTTAGTAAAGAAGTTAACTGGCTTCAGAAGCCATATCATCAAAACACTTCAAACTATCACCATGCACAACTCCGATGGTGTTCTTTTTCAATTTAATTGCAATCACAGAGTGAAAAAACTTGGTCCCGTTATCTCCCTCCTAAAGCTATTTAATTTTAGCTTTCTATCGAAAAAACTAATTTTTAGCATTCTCAATCTCTGCAAGCTCAGCCTGCAAGGAATGTTCAATGATGATGCTTCGTTCAGTCACATTAGAATCCAAATTCCCAAGCTGCACTCTTTCCAATTCCTCCCTTTTCACACGTACTCTACGAGAAAGGCCAATAAAATGTGTTTTATTAAAAAGCCTTAGACAAGATTTTAGCCGTCTCAACTTGCAAAAAATAATCCTTATAAGGAAAGATTCATGTATAGTTTCATTCCAAAAATCAGTCACTATAGACAAAAAATCATGATGCTCTACCCAAAAATTGAAAAACTTAAAAGGTTTTGGTTTAGAAGTAGGAACATCCTTCAAAAGCCAAACCAAAGCAAGACAATGGTTAGACACTCCAGGCGCCTGAATTTCAACAAAAAATTTTGAAAATGCCAACGACCAAGAGGGATTAATGAGGACCCTATCAAACTTCCGAGCCAAAAAATTATTTTCCTACTTGTTTGACCAAGTGTATAGCGAACCAACATACAGATGGTCTAACAAACTTAAATCATCACAACAATCCTGAAAATCCTGAATCTCATACTACAATGAGAAGGAGATCCTTCAAAATCTGAACTTTCATGGGGGCAACAATAATATTAAAGTACCGCCCAATAAGCCAAGGGTAAGACCCAACCATAGCCTCAATATTCCTAAGGTTCTGGCACAAATCCCTACGTTCAAGCACCAATTTTTTTTCCGTAAACAGCAGAAACAAAAAATCAATCCCACAAACACTACTCTTAATAGTAACAACCTGTTCAGTGTTTAGAGATTACATTCCATCCATCAAAACTCCTAGCAATAACAACAAAGACATTTGATTCTTTAATCTTAGCTTCAAGAAGACACAACACAGAAGCATGAACACCCCTCAACCTATGCAAAACCTTACCCTGCTTGCAAGGATTATTCAATCCTCTGACATTCCAAAAGCAGATCTTCATATATTAAGGTTAGGACTATGACCTCCAGCATTGTTGCCTACAATCTTTATAACTTTCTTTGCCTTCCTAAGTGTTCATTCTTATTAGTCTTTATCTCCTAAAGAAGATGAACAACCTCTAAGAAAGCAGCTCTTGGTTTCTGATAAGGGAAATCTGAAATAGGGGGAACATTCTCACTGTCAACACTAGCAAGGAAAACAAATTTGTTTTAAGAACTAGTAATACCCCTGCCCCCGTCCTCATTGATTTTACCCTTATTCCTCCCCCTGAAGAAGAACCAACTTTACTTCCCGAGTTCACAACCTTATCACACCAGGTGACCTCTCAATAACAGGCACTGGACACTGATCTTCATTCACAATTGGTACCATCTCCTCCTTAGAATTCGAAGCAGAGGAAGGAGCTTGACTAGGACGCTTACCACTTGATTTAACATTCTTTGTTTCAACAGGCTTAGAAACCTCTAGGTAAGCTTTAATCGAATGGCCAAATAGCTTGCACTCAGAGCAACATGGGGGTAACCAAGGACCTTCAACTCGAATTCGTACCGAGGATCCATCTCTCAACACAACCATAACTGAATCAGGAATCATAGATCCAACAAACACTTCAACGCAAACCATTGCAAACTCCAATCGCTGTTTCGAAACAGTGATTGAGTCCATATGCAGTGGCACGCCTATGGCACTCGCAATGTAGTTCAGGCCACACTTGGAGAAGAGCTCAAGGGGGATGTTAAACAATTGCACCCAAACGGGCATCGTGACTAGATCAAATTTGAGCTTACTCAAATTCAGCTCCCATTTTCGCTAGAAGATGGGTTTGTTTTGAATGTAACAAGGCCCACTCTCAAGAACCCAGTCTCTAGCAGTCGCATTAATGAACTAGAAAACATAAAGGCCAGGGCTAGCGAGACTTACTTTGACTGATTAAGTTTCCCCAAAAGCAGATCAACAACCTTCTCCATCGAACCAAAGTTAGGAACAATTCCAATAAATTGGCCCACAAGAGACTACTTCCACTCTAAAAAATGCCCTCATCAAAGACAGCCAGAGAAGGCTTCACCGCAACCGAACCATCTAAGTCCACCGGAGGAGGCTTCCACCAGAGAGCATTTTACATTATTATTTTTGTAGTATATTCATTTTGCTTACTCTAACTTAATTAAATACGTTTATTTCAATTAAGTTTTACTTGATATATCAAGTGAAAAATTAAGAAAATATTAAATGTTCGAAAAAAATAACTTTATGCGTATCTTAGAAAACATTACAAAAATAATTTCAATTTTTTTCTTAAAAAAAACACCGAAGAAAGTGTATTTGGTTTAATTTTTTTTTTTAAAAAGTTATATTAGATATGATGTTTAAATGTAAAGTTTAGACTTTCAATTCAAAAAGAAAATTATCGTACGATTGATTGGGTTGTTTTGGGGCGTGACATCACGAGTTCATCATTTCAACAAATTAAATTTAGGTTGTTATAATTCTAATCAAATTGATATAAATAGTTTTTATGTCTCTCAATTTAAAAGA